ACGGTGAAATTTGCGGTGGCCATTCTGACCGTATCAAAGGTATGGCGGGGTCTTCGACGATGTGAGACAAGTCTAGAGCTGCATACACGCAGAGTAGCAGGGTGCTGTAACCATTTTTATATCGTGTTGCTCCTCACCGGATCTGAGTCCCGGCAGCTGTTGAGAATGTTACGGGACTGAGCCGATGTGGGGCACCACAGTACTTCCCCGTGGGGAAAACTGTGTGCCGCCCACTGTCTGCATCCCTTGCTTTCTAGGGGATATATCGGCATATAAGGTGTGTCGTTGGTGGTGCAACATGGGCAAACGATCCCTGAGGTTTGTGAGCCCCAAGGAGGAGGTTCGTCCGGTTTTCCGGCAAACTTGGATTTGACACGCGCGCAGTCAGATGCTTGATACATGGAAAATGCGCCAGACTCTATACATGTTCTCTTTGTGTTGAACAACATCTCATTTGGCATTTCGATCAAATGGCTATATGGCTATAGTATAATAGACGCTATGGCTTCCAGAAACAAAACAGACATTGGATAGAAGACAACCTCAGTCCAGAGATGCATGACGCTACTTGTGGGCAGACCCTGGGAAAGACACGAACCGTGAAAAGATGAACAGCCAGATTCCGTACACGCCACAAATGCACTGGTTCAACTGCCCTTTGCCAAGGGTGTCGATTCCTTGCAACCGCTTTCTAATCAGCCCAAGATATTTCAGTCTCGCATTACCACCTCTATCAGCGTGATCCCAGCCTCAAACATGGAGCATCCTGCTATGAAGCGGAGATGTGCTCTCTCAGACCACTCGGCTCTGGTCCCTTTTTACCTCTTCGGCCAAGTAAAGTTGCATTATCCAAACTCAATTCGAATGCTCCCCTATTGCGTACCTGCCTCTTCGCGGCTGCGGCGACGGCAGGAGAATGCTGTCCATAGCCTCGTTGTTCTTCTTGTCGTGGGACATTGGCCTGTCGAGCCTGAGCAGCAGCGCTGAGGGTAGTGTTACGCATCTGTCGCTCCATGCCACTGACATCGTTGGCCTGACTCTTCGGTAATTTGGCAGGCAGATTCTGAGCACTTGAATCGTATGCTGCACTCTCGTCACCGTCGTCATCGTAGTCCTCTTCATCCAACGCATTGAGAGGATTAAGCGGATTCATCGCATTTCCACCGCGGTATCCTTGCTTGAAGTTCTTGCGACGCTTTGCTTCCTCCTCTTGCCGATGGACGGCGTATCCAACATCAAAGACCTCTCGAAGATTGACAGCACCTGGCGATCTGAAGTCTTGGCGACGTCCACTAGGTGTCATAGTATCGTCAAGATAAGCAAAGTTCTGACGTTGAACAAGCGGCGTGGCAAGTGGTGGTGCGTCAGCAGCGGCATGAGTCTCCTCTTCACTCTCACGAATCCACGGGTGGTTCAGGAACTGCTTGATGTCGTATCGCTTATCTGGGTCGACAGTCAGAAGATGCGAAACCAGATCCTGAGCCGGCTTTGAAATGTCGTCCCACCATGGTGACAGAAAGGTATATTGGCCACGCGCAACCTTCTCAGTCAAAGTCTGGATGCTCTCATCGTAAAATGGTGGGAAACCGCAAAGAAGTGTGTAAAGCACACAGCCGAGAGCCCACATGTCGACGCTCTTCGAATACCGCTCGTCTTTAACAATCTCTGGCGCGGTATAACCTACGGTGCCACATGGCGTCATGGTCTGACTATCCCAAATGACCTTGGAGAGACCGAAATCGGCAATCTTGATGGTTCCGATTCCGCCTGCCCCATGACCTTTGATGTACTCGCCCTCATCAGCCTTGTCCTCGTCCTCAGCACTCTTGGGCTTTGGATTCTTCGACTCAACGAATGGGATTGGATAGAACAGAAGATTCTCGGGCTTGATATCACTGAATATGACGTCAGTTTCATCATCTCACATCAGTCAGGGTTGCTTACCGGTGAACGACACCAGCTTCTTCGTGTAGATACTCCAATGCTTTAGCAACTTGAACAATTACATGTCGAGAAAGGTCTTCGCTGAAGTACGTGAGGCGCACTATTTGGTGGAACAATTCTCCTCCTGGGCACAGCTCAAGGATGATGAAGTAGTACTGGCGCGATTCGTGGAAGTCGACAAGCCTGACGATGTTTGGATGGTCGAGCTGCCTCATGATCTGTACCTCTTTGAGAATATTTGCGCGCTGCAACGGGGCTATAAGTCAGCTCTTGCACCGTTTAGTAAATTCAACGCAAGCAAAAACTTAATCATGCTACGCAGTTTGGAAGGAATTGTTACGCACATCCACTGTCTTGGGAGCCTTCTTGCTGAAGTCGGGATGGAGTACGTTATCGCCCTAGGCAGCGTGGTTGGCTAGGTTCGGCAATCGTTCTCGAGAATACGAGAGACCAAAAGGTTGACAAAGACGAGAAGTATCAAAACTGCTTACCTGGCTTGAGTTCATCTCAAATTTTCTGACAACTTTGATTGCGCACTCTTCTTTGTATTGACCTGTGTTGTCTCTTGCTCGGTAGACGTTGCTGAAAGCGCCATCACCCATCTTCTCCAACAGCGTCCATCGTTCGAGCCCAGGGTATTTTGGTAGTTTGCCTTTGCTTTCGCGTTCCTCTGCCACTATGCGCTCCAACACTGTAGGATCGACTTGCTCGGCGGCAGCTTGCTTCTTTTGCTGGTGGTCGGCAGCTCGTGCAGCGGCATCACCCGCTTTAGCGGCGACATTCTGGTTGTTGACTACGGCAGCAGAGTATTCGCCGTGAGGGACGTTGCCTGCATGTATAGGCTTGTGGTCGAGCATATTCGGATCGCTTACCGCATACTGGTGTTGCTGCTGGGCGGGCGAGCCGTACTGGTTGTATTTCTGTTGCTGGGCGTGCACGGGAGAAACATTTGTCGTGGGCTCGGCGTTGTTCGCTCGTGCCTGCTTGCCGTGGCGGATGAAGTTCTTGAGGTTCTGTATGGTACTCATGATTTAGTAGAGCAGGGTGACTCGAAATGTGTGTGTGCGTGCAAGATGTAGGCAGATGCAGGTGAGGTGTGGGCTGATGGATGACAAATGAAGCGCCAACGGAGTCTGCGAACAAGAGCAAGCCTTCTGAGAGTGCGGCTCTTTGGTTGAAAGACAGTGAGCGGGTATGGGATTGGGGGATTGTGAGCGGGAGTGGAAGTGGGAGTGGGAGTGGGAATTGGAGATATTGCAACGATGAACGCTGTCAACGATGTGGAAGGAAGTTTGGGCGCTCGATGACGCAGTGGGCGTTGGCGTGAGCGCGCTCCCGCAGCCGTGACCCTCTCTTCGTCATTCGGCTCTGATATGGAACGTCTTCAGGTTCTTCTTCAACATCATGGGAGAGACGCGAGCGTGTTCCTACTTACCTCCACTGCTCGTCCACGTCAGGAGTCAGTGCTTCGTGCTGCTGTCCTTGGTCCGTCGACGCACTCAAAGTACACGGAAGACGCGAGACTGAAGAGCAGGCGGTAGCCTCATAAAATATAAATTACTCTTACCTCGATGACAGCCATATCTCGGCTCGGCTGTGGTCCCTGATAACGTGAGGACCTGTCTCTTCCCTGTACGTAGTCGAGGTAGTACTCTGATGCTCAATCCTGGGTTCGTTAATTTGACATCTTCGGACCAACACACAATACACGGTAGCTACTGGGACCACTTTCTCCACCCCAGTTCAAGGTGCAGGCCCGCGTCGAGTCATTAGCTGGCCAACATCTTCTCCCAAGAATGCCACAATTGTAGCCACCTTGAACTTGCCAAAACGTGCACCGTGGAATACGAGGAGGGTATGGACAAGGTTGACGTACCGCCGTGCTGCCGTCTTGATGCGATTGTGACGTTGAAGGCCGTGAGATTGAGGCTGCGTCCAATCACCACTGCTGATCCGTGAGACCACTTCTCGATGGTGCAGGACCACTGGCCTGGTAAGGATGAGATGGCTGAAACAACCGTCTATTTATGTAGTAGCTGGATATGAGGATATGCGGGCTGATGCGGACCAATGGCAGGATCTGGTGACGAACGAGGTCGGATGTAGTAGCAGTGAAGCAGGACTTCAGGAACAGCTGAGGGAGAAAGAGACAGCAGGGCAGAAAAAGTAGTCGGCGTTGCTTTCCAGGCGGCGCGCCTGTAAAAAAACGCCGGACCCGCCGAATGTCTTGCCTACTAGTGATGGCCTTGGAAGCAGATTAGGAGTACACCTTCATCTTGCATGATTCGCTCCTTGACTGTCCATCCCAGGTCCTCCGTAGTCCGTACACGTTGCCAGCAGCCTCACGACCCTTGTGCCGTGTCTATTTGTGTCGTATCATGCATCTCCAGGTTTCGGAATTCTGCTTCGCCGGGCGGTGCGTACGACTCCAGTTAGGACAAGTGCAATGATACGTCATGATGTATTCAAGGGTCCCGATGGTGGGGTAAGATCATGGAACACATCCCACTTTCTCCTTCAGGAAAGAGGCGAGGTACAATATGTGCATATCATTGGAATTGCCAGTGAAGAACAGCTCCAGTCCTATGAATTGAGGAAATACAACATATCTCCATGGATGCTTGAAATCCTCCGCCTATGAGAATTATTGCTTTCTTTCGCGACTGGTGATGCGCTGCTTATATCGGGTACCTAGCACTCCGTCGCTGCGGACGATACGATCAAATTATCTAGTGTTACAGAGCGATCGCGACCAGCAAAGCCCTACGCCTCCTTCAAAGTGAAAGTCCGTCTCTTTTCTGAATCCTATGATTTTTTCCGAGCCGCACCGCTCGGTCAGAGAAGCAAAATGCGTTGAGACAGCACACAAAAAGAAACCATAGCCAAACGAAAAATTTGACATCTACCATAAAATACAACCATGCCACCCAGCTTTTTCATTCCACAATTCCATCCTCAATCCTCCCAAACACAGAAGAATAAAGCAAAAAAGATAAGGTATCGCCCGCGGAGAGGCTGTAGACCCGTCAGCAACCCGCGCTTAAATTCTCATGGAGTACATGCAACTAACCTCGAACTCTCAACCTTGAGATCTCTACTGTAAAAGTCTCACGCGCTAACCAATTGTGCCACGCGGGCCTGGACGTACTCGAACAGGCGTGATTCCAGAAAATCTGGAGTGGTTTCAACCGTCGCCAAATGGACTGAATTGATCAAAAATTGTTCGTTTTTTGATACCAGTAGATTACGCGTGGATTTTAGATGATGTGGGGTGTGCGGCCGTAACTCTATGCGTCTGTCCTCCGTCGTGATTGGCTGGCTCGGCTGGTGTCAGGCACATGCATCGAATACCGCATACCTTACCATTGTAGATATAGGCAGTTGAAGAAGAGAAGACTATGTCAACTAAGCGCAATGAAGCGCAATAGACGAGAATGCGCTTAGTTGACATGATTTCTCTTTGGGTCTCCGACGGGGTAGCGAATCAGGGCGCTTGAAGAGCTTAGATAATATCACACGGTTATTGTGGTCATGCCCATGTCATTCCAAGTCCTTCATCGGATAACTGAAGCCAATCACGACCTTCACTCACTGGCAGTGCTAAATCACCGCATCAGGTTTCGATGATTGGAGACCTTCAAGTTCCTGGCCGAAGCAAGCGGAGCCCACTGATAGTCTCGCTTCGAATCAAGGCAGCCGGGGTCAAATGACCTTTCCCTCTGCCTGGCATAAAAACCTGTTTAACAATAAACACACCAAGCGCTCACTCCTCCTCCAACACCTTTTCCCTCCTCTCGCCAGAACACCTCTCGTAACCCAGAGATCGAAAACAAACCGCCAGCAATGCCGGCAGAAACCCACGCAAGTCCACACAGCTACCATACCACCCCATCCCCGCATCATCTAAAGCCTTTTATCAGCATCTCCTCTCCACCGGGCACTCAGACTGGTGGTTCTCCGGCCCAAGTCTAAGCGAAAGCCCCATCCTAGACCTGCTCAACTGTCCCGAACAGCACGAGCGCGACCGTCTGACCGAGCAATGGCGCGACCACAAACTCAAAGAACTGAACTTCGTCGGTATCGTGGTAGGTTAATAAACCCAAATCTCCTCTCCCTAGGTGTCCACCAGCTTTGCGGAACAGAAAAAGAAACGTTTTCTTTGATGGACTGACGGGGTTTTATCTCGCAGGCCGCGCTCTTAACAGGCTGTCTGACAAGCACCGGTTCCTGGCCCAACTTCATCCCAGGTGGTGAAGCTCAACCGTGGCAAGTCCGTACGTGCTGGTTCGTCGGTATAATATTCGGTCTCGCATCCATTCTGGCCGCGGCGGATCAGACGATTCGGTTGCACCGGATCTCCGCGCACCGGAATGCTGCGCGGCGGATCCGGATCCTCATCAGGGGCGGTGCGAAGAGCAGAAGAGGGAAACGGGTTAGACCTTCGCGTGCTCGCATGTATATATGGCAGCTTCCCGTGTTTTTTCTGTCGTGTGCTGCTGTGTCTATGATGGGGGGTATTTGGATCTTGGTTTGGACTGCGACCATGGAGAGTGGGGGGTTTGTGTGGAAAGAGAATGCGAGGGTGAGTGACTGCTGGCGTGATTTATGCTTCGTTCTTCGCTAATACTTCGTCTTGTTAGAGTGCGATTGTTTTCACGGTGACTACGGCTTTGATTGGTATCGTCTTCTTCTGGGCTCAGGCGTTGCTGCACGCTCCAGTCCACGACGAAGACGACGAGTTTGAGTAGATATTCAAGTTCAATTCAAGATGGTATGGAAGCGGCCGGTGATAACACGTTTGAAAGCTGCCAACGTTCAACGACCCAAAATCCAAAATCCAAAATGCCCCCACCCTTCCATCTACAAATCCACTCACCTCTTCCCCAACAATCCCCTTACCCAACGTCAGCGTTCCATCAATAACCCACTCCCTACCCAATACCCATTCCAAAATCACCCCGCGCGCGCACATGTAAGAAATATCCTTAGCACAATCCCACAACCTTACCTCCCGGACACAAAAAAAAAAACGGCAGCAGCTCACCTGCAACAGCCGCAGCCGCAGCCGGAGCCACAGCTGTAGGATTCCAACAGTGGTGAGCGGAATTCGAGATTTGTCGGGGAAGAGGCTGTGGAACGGTGAGCAGTTGTAGAATAAAGGCTGGGTTTGGCGACATTCTGCTTTCTATACCATACCCTATCCTATCCATTTATTCAAGATCGACTCTATCTTCCAACCACTGCAATAGACAACACAAATAGAGTCTCACATCCAAGACCGAGATGAATGAAATCACAGCCACCAAGCGCAATCAGAAATCATCCCGACAACTCAAACGCGAGCAAGTTTTTAAGATCGAAGTGACAGGAGAGAACGAGTCTTCACAGTCACAGTTCAAAAGGTACGTGGTAGTGGGTAGGATATAATTATTTATGTATGGCACTGCCCGCCCTCTACTCTCCACAGCAGAGTTTCTCAAGTATCCCATCGCGCAACATGCAGTGTACATGATACTCTTTCCAACAGCCAAGTCTATCCCATCCATTCTCAACGGGCGAAGAAACGCTCAATATCCATGCAAATGCTTAGTGGTCAGCTACCAGACACCTCGCCTACACCGTGGTGTATAGACAAGGAGAAAGAGGCAAGAGCCAACGCCGCGCAGGGTGAGAATCCAAAACCTGCCCGCTCAAATCCATGCAATTTCATAACGTCATTATCTATGTTTTCCGCTTCCTTATGTTCCGCCAGTCTCGTTTATACTTTCTTTCGGTTTGGGTGTCTTCACAAGTCGACTTCGTCCACGCTGCAGACTGCCAGTCGGACTCCTAGGTGAGGGCGGAGCACCGCCAGTCGCATCGTCCTTGAGACTCGGACTTCTCGTCACGATGGTGTTGAGGGGACTGGACATCCTCTTCGCATTCTCAGGCGTTTTCGGTCTTGGCAGAGAATTGCCAGGCGTACCACTGGATGAGGGCGAAATGATATTCTCGAGGCCTGCGCTTGCGGGCCGACTGACAGGCGGACTTGCCGGTCCGCTCTTGAAGGTTGCAGGCGAATCTGTTCGGGAGGGAAGTCCCGCACCTGCAACGTCAGCCAAACTTTGTCTTCCCGATACGTCCTGTCCGAAGTTATCACGACTGCCATGATCTTTCAGACCACCAGGGGAACTCGCTCTCGACATCATAGAGCCTGTCCGTACAACGCCACCGCCTTCATCGACAAGTGGTGCGACCGTACCTGCAGTGTATGGTCTGTTGTAATCTTGAAAATCTCTTGTGCTCCACGAACCGCGGTGAACCCTTGCGCCATATGGTAAGTTCGATGAGCTGATTCGTGATCCAACACTTGTAGCTCGCGATGCACGGTTGCCTGGCAGCGCATCCTTAGAGGCGCCGTATATGCTTCCAACTTGTGTTTGAGACGAGCGTGGATCTTGAGAGATTTCTGCCTGGAACTCCAAGTCTTCGTCCTCAATCTTGGGTGCCCTCTTCACAGAGTTGACCGAGAAGTAGGGGCCCTTGGGCTCCTCGGGTGGAGGCGTTGGAGGCTTCGGCGGCGGCGGAACATCAGCAACAACTTGATCGAGATGGTTGAAGTATCGTTGGCGCAAGGGTAGCCACCGTCGTGGCTTGATTTCCTCCCTGTGGCGAGTGATGGAGAAGTAGCTGGAGATCGCACTAAGCACGATACAAATTAACAACGCGGTAGTCAGGAACCCCTGAATAATGATGATGACCACGCCGATAACAGTCGTGGGGATTCGTGCAAGGTTGAAGCTGACGTCGAAGGCTGCCGATAGTGCGACACACACGATTTTGCTGAAGCCGAGAAGGTAGATGACGATGACGTTGAGTCTTTGTCCCTCGTATGGCTTGAGCTTGAAGATGCCCAAGAATGCGAGGAACTCAATGACGAGGAGGAAAAAGACCTGCACCATCGGGTGTCCAGAAGCGCCGGCCAGAACAGCTGCCCGAATGAATTCGTAGACGATCCATGCCGCGAAGAACCACCACCTGGTACGTCGGTATCGTGATGCTAGCCAGCCAAACTTCTTGGTGTATTCTTCATCGTCATGGATTGACTGCGCCGTACCTTCGCCAATGTGGGAAATCTTCCATCCCGGAAGAGAGCCGGAGAAAACCTTCTCGGGTTGATCCTGGACATTGCTCTCATGATGGAAGGTGTACCAAGGTATAACCTTGAGTACCTTTCTCCTCTCCAGCTGAATCCGATCGGGTTTGGTTTCGAAGTTGCCGACGCGAAGCCGGTAGTAGCAGGCATATGCACAAATTCCCAGGATGCCAATGAAGAATATCACAAAGACAATGGCAGCAATGGCCATGACGCTAGCTGCACCCCCGTATGAGAATTGAAAGATAGTCAGGAACATGAGTGCGAAGAACGCGATGAAGCATGTTCGCAACAAGGCTAGAGCCGTGTATCCCTTCCAATGGGCACGGAAAAGGTTGAAGCGTTGGGTTTTGACAACGTTGAATCTGCAGAGCAAGTCCAGAGCGAACTTGAGGAGGACAACACTGCCGCCCACTATAAGTAGCAGAATAAGGAACCAGATGAATCCAGTAAGGAAGGCGTTGGAGGCTGGGATCATCTCCTGAGACAGCGTTCCCGCGAACCCGGAGTAATTGCCAGGCAATGGCAGACCAGCTCTGACCGGATCTCCGAACCACTTGGATGCAGAAGTGGCGTTGCTGCCGGTAGAAGCACGTTTGGCCAATGCCTTGGACAAAGTTCCCTCCAAAGCTTCTGTCATGCCGCTTGGATCGAAAGCTCGCGAGCGTTTGTAGATTTTGTGAAGATCGAATCCACCGCCCACGCCGCTTTGAGGAGTATTCGCCCCAGCAGCTCCGAGATAGGACGTATTTCCACGGGCTTCGCTTGTCAAGTGATCGATCGAATTTTGCATGCCAGAAGTGTAGATCATGCCGGCGGACCATGCATAATTACTCCAGAAAGCCACCAAAACACTAGGGAAATTCATTGATAGCGCTCCGGTGAAGAAGATGTGATGAAAGACAGCGAAAACCACCAGGACCGACAGCGAGTGGGCATAGTGCTTCCTCATTGTTGGAATCGTCTCTCCATAAGCGGCTGTGGCCAAAGCGGAGAGCAAAGC